ATAATGAAATCTCGACAATTAACGACTCGGACGCGGACTGCCAAGTCATAATCGCATCAATGACGGCGCCCTAGCGGTAATCACGAGAACTGAGATCTGTAGTATGCATGCATTCGCGTGGACACTACGGGCTATAACTACTGCGCCCCCTGGGCCTCTATCACCCTTATCTGTGCCTCCGATGACGCGTTCGAGCGAGAATCCGAAACGTTAAGCCAATGCACTTCTTGTTCCAGCGACCGGATTATCTCCTTCTGAGCTGTTTCTTGGGACTCGCCTGTTCTTTCCTCATTCATGTATACATTACCTTTGTGCGAGTCACCCGAAGAACAACGTGCTGCGTAAAGATTACTAAACATGCGGATATCAGGCTACGCACATAATTGTGGAGATGTCCATGACACAAATCTTAAAACCTCTAAATGCTGAGGGCGCAGTGAGACAGCTGTCATTCTCGCAGCACTTCGTAGGAAAAGACCACCCTGGACACTTTGGGTCCTACCCGACTAGGCTAAAATAACCCCACGTGGGCCGCGTCGTAAAGCAGCAAATCACTGTACCAGCGACCGCACAGCGAAGGAAGGCATCCTTGATCAGACTTCAAAGTATTCAGTGATAGAGAATTGAATGCAAGATCAAAGGGCATGTGCTAGGCAGCTGCAACTCTGACTCGCCGAAAACATGGGAGGCTATCTCAAGAAATGCGAACCAAAAAGTAAACAAAGCTGTCATGCAGGCAAGGGATGTGTGCCAATGCGCACAGAAGAGGGCGAAGAAGTTGCAAACAAGAAGAAAGAAAAGTCATTCAGACGTCAAAGCAACGCCCACAGAGGGCGGGAGGGGGGAATGCGACGCACGCGCGCACGAGAAAACGGAGAACCAGAGGAAAACAGCATATGAGTAGAAAAATAAAAACCAACTGGTGCACAGACACAGACAGACATAGAGGTGGAGAAAAGATTGCGTGTATGCATCCGTGTCAGACGGAGATGACAGAGGTAGAAATTTTACCCGATGGCAGTCCTAATGAAACCCAGGGGAGGGGGGACGGGAGCAGAAAGCGAGGGAGACTGAGTCATGGGAGGATACATGCATCGCGCGTTAGCTTACAGACAGAACGATCACAGTTCCCCTGAGAGCACGTGCATTCCGACCTGTGGGCGCAGGCGCAGAGAGACGGAAAGGCTAAGCAAAGGATCACAGCGGATGATTGTCACTTCAAATGCTAAGAAAAATGAAAATATCAGGAGCGCAGGGCGGTGACGGGGAACAAAACGGTGCTGGGTGGCGTCTGGACCTGACTAGAAGGACAAATGATTGATAAACAGGGATCCATGTATGTACAAGGACAAAAGTAGTTTACGTGTGCGCAGACGAAACGAAAGGATGCAGGAAGGGAGATCTTCGAAAATATACAAATACACAGTGATGCTAAAGATGCCCTGGGTGTGAAAGAGGATGGGGAAAACGGTAATCGGCATTCGTATCACCCGAGGATTGAGAGACATGGTAATCCCAGAAACGGGATCAAAGGAAGTTAAGGAGAGGAAGCTATGTAGGAGTGGAGGGATAATCTAAGGCAGCTACGAGGGACCAGTACCCTCATTGGGTAGCGCAGCGTGGCATGAAGTTGACATGACACCTTCTACGGCAACAGGACTGGGGGTGTCCGAGACTGTGTCAGCGCGCTTCTTGCTCTGTGGATGAAGAGGCGGGATAGAAGGTGGTTGGCGGGCCTTCTTGTGTTTCCCAAAGAGATTAGAAAGCACCTTCTTTGTCTTTTGAAAGCCGGCCAATTCGCGTTGACAGTCTTCAACGGTGCACTGAAGTCGGAATCGTACAGGAACAGGTTAAACACACAACGTGCACGCAGCCGTTATATTCAATAAATAAAACTTACTGAATACGATTTAAGTAGGTTACGAGGTAGGTCTCAATCTATGGACAGGGTCGAAACGGCGACGTTAAGGTCAATACATAGATATGTCCTGACTTCAAACGGGTGTAGGACGGGGAATCTGCATACATAAGCCGAGTTGGCTGGACGGGTAGTAAGATAGAACGAAGGTTTTGCCAACGCGTATGCGCAAGACAAAAATAAGAACAGTTCAGGGTGGTTGAAGAAGAGCCAGTAATAATATCTAATGCAGTGGTTCTTAAGTGGGGTGGCAGCAAGCTGCAATACAACCCACGATAAAAACAGTTAGCTACTCGTAGTTCAGTAATTTTTAATAAAGTACAGTGATTATTGGTGCCGTCTTATGATCGGATTAGTAGGTCTGCAAAATTCAAACATTGTTTTTCCGGAAGAAGGTTGAACAAGGCAAAAGCAACGAGATTCGCAGAAGTTAAAGACGCCATAGAATTTTGTAACCTCTTCTTTAACTGCTTACGGGCATTGCCTATTAGAAAGACAAAATAAACTGTCCAACTAAAGATGGACCTAGAATGCTGAAACTCGATAGGTAAATAAATTATGAGCTATTGGCCTGAGATGCAGGTAGGCATGGTGAGGGGCAATTATCGAAGCAAGCCAGTTCAGGTTACCATGAGAATTAATCAAGCGTAATTTAAAGTGCAAAGGGCAGGGAAGCAGACGGTTATGTGCGGAAAGCAGGGGGCGTGAGAGGACGGGAAAGGGAATGGGGTTACTTCCTTTATTGCTACTCAGCACGGTAATGCGAGATTGATCACGTGATCCAGCTGCTTATAGAGTTCCGCTTTCTTTTTTCCGAATGCAGCAGCCTTTGCAAAGCGCAGAAGACGCCCAGATATTGTCCGAAGCACGACCTTAAAGTTAGTCACGGGGTCCACCATATGACCAGTATCCACCAAGCGCTTTGGGATTTAAATCTTTGGTACCTTATTTGCCGTCCTTAGCAGCCACATCGATACATTTTTAGCTGCCCCTGCGCTTTGCAGAGGCCGCTGCAATACAGAGGAGAAAAACTAGAAGTCTGTAAGCAGCTGGATCGCGTGATCAACCTCGCATTACCGTACTATGGATCAATAAAGGAAGCAACCCCATTCCCTCTCCCATCCTCTCCTTTCCGCACATGACCTACTGCTGCTCTGCCCTTTGCACTTTTAATCACGCCTGAAAATTTTTCACTGTAACCTGAACCGACATGCTTCGACAATTTTTCCCCCTCTCCTCCTCTCCTGACGATGCACACCAACAGCGAATACCCTAAAAGTCTATTTGGCCAGCCGATGCTTTCGGCAATTCATCATCGGAACGGTACAATTGCACGGAGAATGAAAATAGTACCGTCGGACAGGATTAATAAGTGGCTTATAATTACAACTCATCTTTTTCGAGCCGCCCGCGTGGCGAGTTCGGACGGAGGGGGGCAATTAGGATAGGCTGTGAGTATTGGTCATGGGTCGAGTACGTTGGGTGAAAATTACTGTCACGTGCACGGGGTAAATAACTGTCACCAGGAGGTGGGGGCGATATGCGATCGCCAACTGTAGTCGGCCACTGAAGTGATAGTGCCTATATTAGCGTCTTCTGACAATACAACAATGGATTCGCTAGCCGTATGGCAATTGTCTCGGCTGTTGCTGGCACAAGCACACATGGATGAAGGAAAAAATGGGGTGCCTTAGCAACCACGTGACAAGTTCTGACATCATAGGCGAACTCACATCGAGCTCATCCGTGCGAAGGACACAGTCGTCAGAACTCTTTCGGTGGGTAGAATTTTTATTTGGACGT